TAAATAAGTTTTAAATGGCATCTCTTTTGTCCCTTAAATATTGTTGCTGTACACTGCATTTATCTGCCATGTTAAATTCTTATTAATGAGTAATTATGCAAAATAACTTCCTGACATTGTTTTATGCATAGGGATAGCTTACTTTGTCATGGTTAATTATAAATCCATAAAGCTTTTTGCTCTTTGAGAATGTTAATTAAATGTCTAAATTGGGGTAAAAAAATTTTTGAAAGGATATAACTTTTTTCTTGAAATTGCTTGGGGGGTTGGATTGATTATCTTGGTTATCTTATCATTAGTGGAAATTCTTAGGGGAACAGTTGAGCATATTAGTGAATTTAAGATTCATGTACAAATTTGATATTTGAGTTTCAATTTAGGAAAAGTAACATTCTGAGGTAATATAAATGAGATATTTAGACATTTAATGGTGCTTTTTTTTGGAGACAGTGTTTCACTGTATGGTCTAGGCTGGCCTTGAACTTTCAGTGATCCTCTTGCCTAAGCCTCCCCAGTGCTGGGAGAGTGCTGAGACCACAGGCATGCCATCACACCTGGCCATTGCTTTTTTTTTTTTTTCTTTTCCTATTTCTCTTCCTTCCATCTTCCCTCTCCCTCTTCTCTCCTTCTACCACCTCTCTCCTCTCTTCCTCTCTTCAGCCCACCCCCTTCGGTTCTGGGGAATGAACTTTTTCAGAACCAGGGTACATTCTTAGCTCTTTTTTAAAAAAATTTTTGAGTCAGTATTTTTCTGAGTTGCTTTGTTGCCTAAGTTGGGCTCAAATTGCTGTCCTTCTGCCTCAGCCTCCTAAAGTGCTGGTAGGCATGCACCACCATGCATGGTATTAACATGTATACTTACTAGTGGTTGTGAAATATAGTACTGATTGTATTTTTGTAAGTTGGTTAATGAAGTGTTACCAAAATTAATTTGAAAGACTCCCTAGAGGGTATTAATGTTAATAGCTCCTAGAGAAAATGAAAACTTGGGTAGTTTGATGTGGTTTCTTGTATGATAGGGATTATTTGTTAATTTCAGGTAAAAATTTAGTTTGAAAGTATGTTAATTATATTATTAAAGAGCAGTAATGGCCTGAATGCTAATAAAAAATGTCAGATATTCTGTGTTTTGAATATAAATCTGTTTGTATCTAAAAGTGAAAGCCTGCAGTTTTAGGACGACAACAGTTTTCTTTTTAATCATGTAAATTGCTCTTTAATCATGTAGATATGTAAGTATGTACATCTTTTGTGCTTGGCATTGAGAAGATTTATAAGGAAATTAAACATTTTTCCTTAAGTGAGTTTATAGTCTAGAAGTAGTTGGTCACTCAACAAATTCATTTTTCATTTTAAAAATGTTTTTATTAGTACATGTTTGTGATACATATACAATTGTCCTTTTTACTTCCCCTTACCGCTCCTCTCCCCCCTCTTCCTTCATCCCTAAAGCCCCTTCTCATCTGCAGATGTTAACAGTAAAGCACTTAGCATTTACAGTGTACCTTGTTAAAATGGAAGATACATAGATAATTAAGCATGAATTTATAATCTATGAAGAATTACAGTATGATAAAAAA